TAGCAGTCAAATCCTTTATCTACTATACCACCAGAGGGATTTACTTCTGGGTTGTCAGTTCTGTTCCATTGGTCTGTGTGACTGTCCTTGTATCAGTACTAGCCTGTTTTGACTACTGTGGCTGTATAGTAGGTTTTTAGATCAGGAAATGTAAGGCCACCTACTTTGTTCTTCTTTTTTAGTACTGTTTTGCTTATCCAGGGTCTCTTGCCTTTCCATATATCTTAGTTCTCTAGTGCTGTTATAACAGAAATACCACAACTGGATGGCTTTAAAAAGTAGGAATTTATTTTCTTACAGTTTAAGAGGCTAGAAGTATGAATTAAAAAAAAAAAAAATTAAAGATTAGAAGGTAAAGTTGAGGAAATCTCAAAAAAGGAAATATAGGAAATTGAGAGAAGTAGTCTATAAATGATGCAAATTCCAGAAAAGGAGAGCAAAGAAACTGAGAGTAGGAAATAAAGAATTAATGCAAGAAAACTTCCCAGCACTGAATGACATGAGTTTCTAGAATGAAAGCTAGAATTCACTGAGTATATAATAAAATCAGTAGGAAAGATCTTTGGCCCCTCCTTGGGTTTCTAAGGCAGTATCTCTACAGAAGCAGATTGCCCAGTCTTCCTTCTGTGGAGTGGCTAGTGGGTTTGAACCACCAGCCTTCTGGTTAGCAGTCAAATGCCTTAGGCCCTACACCACCGGAGCTGCCACATCAAGACACAGTATAATGAAATGTCGGAATGGCAAGCTTCCAGAGAAGAGAAACAGGCCACTTACAAAGACTATGGAATTAAAATGCCATCATATTTCTTATTAATAGTACTGAAAGCTAGAAGACAATGGAGTACTACCTTGGCTATGTTGAAGGAAATTAATTTCCAACTCAGAATTCTAATCGTATCTGAATCATCAATCACGTGTGGACACAGGCTAAAGACATTTTCAGATAGGTAAATTCTCAAAAGTGTGTCTTTAGCTTATATTCACAGTGGATTAAGTCTTTGTTTAGGGAGCACTGAGTTTCTATTAATGGTAGTGGAATAATTTGGAAAAGAAATTTGCAAAAATTTATTGTGATGTCCTGTGATAAGTATTTATGACTCAAATTGTTGAATTTCACAACCTTTTGGAAGCAAGATACCAGTCAGGATACTAGTATATATTTTTAAGTTAATGAATTTAAATCTACAACACAGCTGTTTTCTGTAAGGATTCCTGTTCTTATAAAACTCAAACTCACTGCCGTCAAGTCAATTCTAACTCATAGCAAGTTTCCAGGGCTGTAAATCTTCTTAGAAGAAGACTGCCTGATCTTTCTTCTGCAGAGTGGCTGGTAGGTTTGAATAACCAGCCTTTTGGTTAACAGCCAAAAATACCTTAACCACTGCACCACCAGAGCTCCTTCCTATTCGTATAATGTAAGGAAAATTACCTTCAGCAGTCTTAACATCAGTTTATCTTTTATTCACTCATCATAATTCTTGCCATGTTTTGCTGCTGTTAATATTCATCAGAGGTGCTCTCTTTCCTAGATTTGCCTCTCTTTTTACCTATTCCTTCAGGAAACTTAAGATGCCAAATTAGTGATAGCATGTATATTTCCATAGCTACAAATCACAGTTCTGCATACACATGATTGGAATTTCACAGCAGGAGAAGCTGGACTAGGAGAAGAGAATGATCTTTATCCTAAAGTAAATACCCGATTAACACAAGGAACAAAAAAATGAGGAGCAAAGCAATTTGCTTGATCTTTCTTTGTACTGCCTGCAGTGGGAAAGCCTTTTTTTTCTTGGAAATCAGATGAAAGATAAACCCCCTTTACTCCCCTAATCCTTAAGTAGTATAGTGTGGACAGTCTCTGAATCCACAAAGGACTTTAACATATTTGAAAACTGTTGTTTCTCTGATAGTGAATCTATTCAGTTATAGCTAATTTCATATAGAAGTTTATATTTGTGTTGTCTGTTTACTGTGGGACCAAACATATTTTGCAGGGATTTTTGTTTGTTTTTTTATTGATTTCCCTGTGCTTAAGAGTTATTTGAATATTTAGGTGATTACAGAGTAAGAGTTCTAAAGTCTACATGATATTCTGTCACATCAACGTCTGGTTTGAGGCAGTTTTTCATGGTTCCTCCCAGACTTCCAGAAATTTTCTTCTGTTGTTGACTTGCATAATTACAGCCACATACTCTTCTTTTGCCACTAGGTCACAAAGTTCTTTCTTGTTTAGAAAGCAGATGAGATTTTAGTATATCATTTTGAGGAAAGTAAAGATTTTTCTAGAATACTAGTTATATGTTAGGCAGTGTGTTTTACACACTTTCATATTCAATATCTAATATTATAGGCCTGAACATGGTCAGACATTGGCCTGTAAAAGGATCTTGTTGTTGTTGTTAGAAAATGAGTGGTTTTAATTTTTGTGAACCTAAGGTGAGAAATGGGAGCTCTGGTAGCGTAGTGCCTAGGGCACTTGACTGCTAACCAGAAGGCTGGCGGTTCAAACCCACCAGCCACTCCTTGGAAGGAAGATGGGGCCATCTACTTCCGTAGTGATACTGCCTCAGAAATCCAAGGAGGGGTCACTATGAGTTGGGTCCAACTTGACGACACATAACAACAACAACAACAAGGTGAGAAAATAAAGCTTAAAATAATTTGTGCTTAAAACTGTTTTGGGGTTCATTAAAATTAAGTGCTACTGTTTTTGTTAGTTTTTAAATAATTAATCAATATTGTTGTAATTATATATATATATATATATATATATATGTATTTCCACCACCTGACTGTCAGTTTGTTGTACATGTATGCTACTATGATGCTGGACACTTTGTACCGATATGGTAGTTAAAGTTATGTGTCAACTTGGCTGGGTCTGGTTTTGAGTGGCTGGGCAGCCGTAGTTATTTATTCCCCATGATGAGACTGGCAGTCAACTTCATGGTGGAATATTCTGTGAGCAGCTGAGTAGCTGCTTTAGGCATGTGGTCTGCTTCCAGTGTATAAGGAGAAGCTTTGGGAATGGTCTGTAGCCTTTGGCACGCTTGAATACTGAATGTAGCTGAGTCGTCATTCAGCATCATGCTATGTTGTCTGCCGATCTTATGACTGTTAATGGACTTGAATCAGTGGCCTGCTGTGTGGTTTGGTAATACTGGGGCTGTGCCTTTTTACTTGTTGATCTTGGGTCTGTCAGCCTTAGCAGCCAGCAGATAGCTGAGTGAAGAAAGCCTCTAGCTTCAGTGGGCCAAGAGCAAGAGGCAGAACTGAAGCCCAAGGTCAGGGGGCTTTCACCCAGATCCTAGAGCCTGGCACTTTGAACTCGGACTTCTAGCTTCCTAAACTGTAAAAGAATAAACTCCTGTTTGTTAAAGCCACCCATGTGTGGTATTTTCTGTTAGAGCAGCATGAAGTAACGAAAACAACTATTGCTAATGCTAGCAGGGTCACCCATGGTAGACAACTTTCAGTGACCTTCCAGACTCAGACAGAATAGGAAGAAAGCTCTAGTGGTTTGCTTCCAAAAATTATCATTATAAGCCCTATGGATGACAACAGAATATTGTCTGATATAGTACTGGAAGATGAGCCCCCTAGTTGGAAGGCACTGAAAATATGCAGTGGTCGCAACAAGGGATTTGAGTGTATCAGTAATCATAAAGATAGTACATGACCTGTGCAACGTTGTGTTCTGTTCTACATAGAGTCACCATGAGTCAGAGCTAACTCAGTGGCAACAGTTTAGATTTCAGCAAGGCATTTGACAAAATCTTTTCCTGTAAACAAGAAAATGTATAGGCTGGTAGAGAAAATTGTTAGTGGGATTCACTGCTGGTTGGAAAACTCTTCTCAAAATTATTCTGAAGAGAAATCTGTAATAGTATGTGCTCTTATCTCTGGCCTGTTTGCAAATGATATTTACAGTTTGGATGATAACAACTCACAGAATTCAGAAAAGGACTATACTTACGATTACAGTTTTATTATAGAAAAGATACAAAAGAAGAGATGTGTAGTAAGAGGTCTGAGAGGGTCTCAAATGCAGCACTTTCATGACCTCAGAGATGCTTTTCCCTCCTGCGTCAGTATCACTGACCAGGAAGCACACTGGAGATTTAGTGTCCAGAATTTTTATTGAGGTTTCATTACAGCATTATAGGCAGTCCTTGAGTTACAAATGTTAGACTTACTTATAACCTATAGTTAGGAACCAACCCCTGTAAAGCCTATAAATACAGTGGTTCGTAATAGCAAACAGGCAGTTCTTTGCAGCGTACATCAAAACATTATGATTATTACTGTATTATTATGTTAAAGATATTTTAGTGTATTTGGAAGCATTTCTTTAATGTTTTTTATGCATAGAAAAGTACACTATACACTATATATTAAGACAAACGTTTGACTAACCAACTTTAGATATGAGCCATACCTAACTGTTCCAACTTAACATACAAATTTGACTTAAAGGCAGACTTAGATTGGAACTTGTTCATAATCTGGGGGCTGCCTGTATATAGTCACATTTGATTGAATCATTGGCCACATGGCTGAATCCAGGGAGTCCCAGCTCCTTGGAGGTTAATAAGTTCATATCACATGGTGAGTCTTTCTGGTGTGGTTAGGTGTCCACCATGAATAACAAAGACATTCTAATTAACTGGGAAATTCCAGCAGTTTAGAGATACGTGTCTCTAGTAACTGGGGATAAGACCAAATTTAGGGGGTAAAGTAATTCTTCACAGATGGATTGAGGTTTCCAGGTGTGTGTGTGTGTGTTTGTTTGTTTGTTTTTGCACTTGGTATTATGCACAATGCTGCTTTGAACTACCTTTTACATGACTAATCCTTTCTCTCTAAGTATACATCTGAGTAGAATTGTTGGAGATTGCTGCATTTTAAGGATATTGACACACTGGAATGACTGCAGAAGAGGGCAGTTAAGAATAGGTCAACTGCACCATAACCAAAGTTTATTTTCTTTATTGTCTTAGGGATTGAAGAGGTTGATGACCATTTGCCAGAAGCACTTTCCTACAGATCCATCAAAATGTGTGGAGTACAATGCACTGTGAGATCTGGGTACTGTGTGTAAATAGCAATAAGACACTTAAGGGATCATGGTTTGAACTTTTGGAATTACCAACAAGAGTAAGGGAAGAAGAAAAATGGAGTTTCCGGTTTCTAATTTCTACCTGATGCATCCCTTGATTGGTTTTCAGAATGAGGTTGGCTCTAGTATCACATCTGACTGCAAACTTGTCTTTTGTGTCTTCATTTTAAGTAATTGAAAGATTACATTCTAAAGACTTTTGTCTCTCTATACATTTAAATTGTGTAAAACACAGAAGGGGTTTATAAATAACTTTTTCTTGCTAGACCTGAAAGTATGGTTAAATGATTAAAAGGAAACATTAGAGGATGGACTTCGTTATTTCTGTAAAATACGACAATTTGCACACTGTATTTTATGTTGTATTTATAGAAAATATTTTTATAGTTTCAATAAAGCTAGAATTATTTAATAAAACCTTATAGTCCTTAAATGTTGCTGCACTTTTGCTGTTTTGCAGTAGAAATTGGAATGTAAGCATTATTACTGTTACCTCAAGTGTTATTTTTCTTGTGTTTTAAAGCTTTTATTTTCCAGGGAGTTTAAATTTTAATATTTGTCATCCTTCAGGAGAGTTAGAATTAACAGGAAATAGTGGCTAAGGCACTTGACTGCTCACCAGAAGGCTGGCGGTTCAAACCCACCAGCCACTCCTCGGAAGGAAGGTTGGGCAATCCTACTTCCGTAGTGATACTGCCTCGGAAACCCAAGGAGGGGTCGCTATGAGTCGGGGCCGACTCGACGGCATACAACAACAACAACAACAAGAAACTTTAAAGACAAAATGGCATAGTATACCAACAGACATTCAAAACAAGTAGTCCCACTGCATCAAGGTTCAAGGAGGGGAGATGGATCATGGAGCCAGCCAAGAATGAGAGAATTTTGAAGATGCTGGTTCCTCTTCCTGCGACATGTGGCCAACTGCTGCTTCCAGCTACAGTCCACCAGCAAAGGAGAAAGGTGCCAGTTCTGATGTCATTGCCTGACACATTATATCCTGATTCTGATTTTCCACACAGTGGAAGACTTGCTATATCCTGATAGTTGCTGTGAAGCACTGCATTTTAGACACTGAGAGGACTCAGTTAAGAGAGTAACATGGGCAGATGGAATGTTACCCAACCAGGTGGGGACCCAGTAATGGATAGCAATAAGAGTGTGGGCACCTCTACACCTTGGTCTTTGGCAAGTAACTTGATCTTTCTAAGCCTCAGCTTCATTATCTGTAAAATGGTAGGTAGTACTAATAGTGTGTAACTCACAGGACTCTTCTTGTGTTTAAGTAAAATAAAATGCTTGGCATACTGTCAAGCAAATAATAAGTGCTCAGTCAACTTTAGTTGTACTGTTTTTAAACCAGAAAAAATGAAAACCAAACTCACTGCTGTCAAGTCGAATCTGACTCATAGCAGTCCCTCCTTGGGTTTCTGAGGTGATATCCCTACGGAAATAAATTGCCCTCCTTCTGAGGAGTGGCTGGTGGGTTTGAACCACCAGCCTTCTGGTTAGCAGTCAAATGCCTTATGCAGTACACCACATTATTAGATGGTAGCAAAATGTCTTTTAGGAAGCCTGTGGTTAGGGGCAGTATGTACCCACATAGTAATAACAACAGTCATTATGTAACATTTATTAAACATTTACTATGTTCAGGCTTTATAGCTGCTTCTACTTTCAATCAGTTATGAGTTTAGAAGTGCAGCAGATATGGTGGGAGCTAGAAGAGCTGAGTGGGTGAGTGTAGATTCACAGCCACTTATTCTGGCTCCCCTTGGGAAGGCTGGAAAGCCAGTTTTGGCCACTTTTGGTTTGTGGCTGTGCATATCTGATTATTTTCTGCTTATTACTGGCATACTGGTGGCTGAGGCACCTTGTGCTGAATTGAATCAGGGTCCTCATCCTTACTCTCCCCTATTCTGGATGGATACCTTTTCTTTGGATTAAATTATTCAGAACTTCTAGAAACTTAATAGAACAAATGAGCTATATAAGTCTGAAGCGACTTGACAGCACCCAGCAACAACAGCCTTCATCATGTTTATATGTTGTTTGAATGAGTACTTCCCAAATTATTTTTTCTTATTCAAAATCAGGACACAGCATTGTAGTTAGTTAACTTTATATTATCTTCCCTTTTGCTGTTAGTTAACGTTCCACATGAAGAAGGAACTGGATCATGACACCAGCACCTAATAAAAGGCATTGATCAGCATGGATGAATGATTTGGGGAAAAAAAAAATTGTAACGTTCTACGGTGCTATGAACGTTAACCATTTGCGCTTGGGTAGAGCAAAGTGGGTTCAAAGATGTGGACCACCTCAAAAGTTTTCCATTTCCCTGAAATTAACACTCTTCAGATGACTTCAGTTATCATGAAGATATATAAGAAAACGGACCTCCCACATTCTCCAAATCATGAAAATTTTCACCTAGCAGATAGGTATTTCTGTTTTCAGCAATTTCTAAAACAAAAAGGACATGTCTTTAAATCAGTCGCAATCTGAAGTAACATTCTTTCCCCCTCCTCCTTTGCAGACTTCTGTCCAAAAGAATTGTGTCTTTCTGGACTCAAATTTAGTAAAACACTGGTTCTCCCTCAGAAGTCAATGCTGTGTTTCCTAGGAGTGTTTTGCCAACTGCAAAGTCTGAGCAAGCTGAGCAGTATTTTTCAGCAGTGTAGCACAGACCCTGCAGCGATCTGGAAGTCATGGTTGTGATTTCAGTCTCTGGGGGAAATTAGAAAATAAGGCTGAAGCCAAAGATAATTGAAACAAAGGGAGAGACCGAAGACAGTCCGGATCCTGTAAGCAGGAGGGGGAGGTCCTGAGAGACCAGAACAAGGAAGGCAGCTGTCACTAATAGCAGACCGTAGTGATTTGCTGTGGACTCTGAACCCTTGGTGAGAATTTGGAGGATGGGAAATATGATTGATAACAGTACAGCTTCATGTTAAGCTCTTCCTTCTGGTGATTTCCTGACTGACTCTTGCACTTTAGATTGCCCTAAGATTTGATCTCAGTAAATAATTTAGAAATACAACTGCCCTTTTATTAGAAAGAAACTGATAATTCATTGTGAAAATAAACAACTTGAGGAAGACTGAAAAACATATTGCAGTTTTTGGTAGATCTGAATTCAGCGACTCCTATCATTGGCTCTTTTCGACCACACAGTATCTCCTTTGCTGCGTCTTAAGATAGAGGGGTGGTAGAATTAAGTGGGGCAGTTTGAATGAAAGGGGAGTACTAATTTGAGATGGGACTATTTCCTTTGACTATCTTGAAGAGCTTAATTTAATGGATTGTGCCTCCTCCCTCTCCCACCCTCCCCCCAGTATACTCCCATGAAGCCCTGGAAAGAATAACTTTATCCCATAGAAATTTATGGTATGGGATCACATTGGGAGTCTTGAACTAAAAAGTACTTTCTCACGGCATATTTATGTAAGAGTTTCCATCTGTCCAGAGCGCGAGAGCCAGCTCCAGTCCCCAGAGGGTCGCTATGGGAACACTGTTATGGCAACTGTTTTTCATCACAGACTCTGTTGTTAGAGTTGTTGAATTATAACCTCACGCTAGTACTTTAATGGTTAATAGCAACCTTAAAATCTGTAAAAATAAGTTCTGGTGGTATGGGATAACTAGGGTTTTGGAATGCAGTGTGGCTAGCAGCAGCAGCAGCAGCAGCTGTGGTATGAGCCGACATCATTCAAAATTTTAGAGTCGTGTTCATTAAAAGAAAAAAAAATTAGGTTTACTGAAACAATTCATTATTAAAACATTGGTTATTTTTCCTCATTATAAACTGGGATATGTTGTAGAACTTAATCAAAATAACCCTTTTGTTGCCTGTAATGGTTGCTATATTTAACTGGGCCACTTTCTTTTGTTTAGTCTCTCTTCGCGGTCCTGAAACACTGGTTTTGAAATCATTGCCAGCCTTTTCGTCTCTTAAATATTCAAGTTTAATGCATACTTTTAACCATGGAGAGCAGCTGAGAAGTTGGAGCTTCTTTTTGGATACTTACTATTGGGAATGTCATGCTCATTCACTGAGCTTCCTTCCATTACAGTCAAGTGCTTTTTGCACAGTCTGATCTTGACTTTCTGAACCGCCAGTTTTACAATTTGCCAAAAACAATCGCCTCTGTTCTCAAATTGCTCTTCCTTGAAGACTTAGTAGACATTGTGTCAGCTTCTTTGAACATAGTCTACAGTAAACAGTTGTAATAGGTACAGTATTAGTACATGTGCACATGCATAACTGAAAGAAAAGTTTAACCATAAAGTACTTGACTATGTGTGATACATTCTGATATTTTCAATTCTGTCTTATTTCATATAAAAAATCCTGATTGTATCTCTCTACATTGGTTTTGTAGCACATTAAAAAGTGGTGACCAGCAGCTTGAAAAACCACTGATTAAAAGAAATTAGTGGAATGAAGGAAGAAATGATTTGGTAGATGAATTCCAGGCAAAAGGACTCTATCTCTTATTTTTTAAATGCAGAGATAACACTTGGCTCATAAGGTTAGTGTGAAATTTAACAGATTATAAAATCTTCAGTGTGTCAAATAATATGTCTGAAGCAATAATGCTTATGTTTAAAATGGAGAAATTTATCCATTAGAAGGAAAGAAGAATAACCAGGACAAGCAGTATATGCATCATCTTTATGAAAATTGGCAGCATGGACATGTGACTACCTGTAAATTGTGGGTAAAGCAAGATTAAATAAGACATAAAATAGATGGAAAGTCAACTAGGGTGTGAGAGAGGGTTGAGGCAGACACAAGGAATCTAGTATTATGCATCAGGTGTCTGTTGAGGGGAAGGAAGTTTGTCCAGCTCTTTAAAGATTATTTTCCAAGACCCAGGTGAAGCTAGATACGTATTTTAGTATAAATTATTTATTAAATTATATTCTATATTCAGAAAAGGAGCTCTGGTAGCATAG